TGAGTTTTGTTGATTATCCTGTTGGAAGTACTTTCATGGTGCTCAGTCATCAACGAATGTTGCTTCCGTACATTTTTATGTTCACAGGAGGGTTGTTTTACAACCGGCATTTCAGATTCGGGCAAGGCCGAACTTTTCAGTTGCGTCCTTCATGTATTGTCATGCTGACACAAAGAGAACACTAGAGCTGGGTTATGATCAACCTGCCCAAGTTTGACAAGATCACTGGAAAATATGTAGACTGATTCGTATTGCGGGCCAACTGTAGCTGCTCCTACTACTTCTCGAACTCATCTAAACAACTCTATGCAGGATATGAACACAACTGGATGGGAGAGTGAATCGATAACCGAGCTCTTGGTTTTTCTGAGTTTGTCATACGAAGTGTTTCGCCACCAATCATCTTCACTCAAGGAACGCATCCAGCATTGGAAGCTGTGGTAACTGAGCCATATGCTAAGCGTCCCAAGCCAACGTCTTTTGAGAAGACCGTTGTGTTTCATAACTCAGTCATAGTGACCTACGCCGAGAGCTGGACAGTACGGTTTGATGTAAGAGGATGAGGGATGTTAGGAAATGTTTGGATGCTACTCATCTTCCAGGATCGGATCCACGTGACCCTCCTTATGGCTGGCCAGAGACATTGGACGATAGAGGGGCTAAACTATGCCACTGGCGTTCAGTTTGTTTCCATATTGCCTGACTGAGTTTCGGATCTGTAGGCACCTGGGTGTTTGCGCTAGGCTGACCCTCACTCTCCCATTTTTTTCATTTCTTAATCAGGCCTTACGGTAGTACGGCAATGACCCATTAGTGTTCTTTGGTTTTTGCTGTCAGTGATAATGATGAGTTATCGTCGGTTTATCCTACCTTATTTATTTGTGCTAGGTAGAAAAGCCGGACGTACTTCTTGGTGTAGTCTGTACGGCCCTGCACATAGCAGACCGACACTTCAGACAAATGATGCGTAACTATGAACTGCATTTAGAGCGGTGAGTCTATGTACTGTGAGGTACTCTTCATTGTATTATCCTGCTTCACTAGGATTACGTCATTATCACCGTTGTTCTCAATACTTTTGCAACTCAAAACTATGCAACTGGAATCCATAAATTCCGGTACGATTTTACCGATCTTGTCCGTCTCTGCGTTTTTGTGCTCCGGTCAGTGAGGGTGAATTCAAGTACACGTTGTTTTGAGTGGCAATTTGGAAATCCTTCATCAACTTTAGGTCGCTGTAGTCACTACCAAGCTAACTGGTTATCCTAAGGGACTATGCATCCTACTGACTTCGGGGCCAGTTTTGATTCACATGATGCCACACTTTGTCGATATATGCTAATTTTACCTTTTTAGGGAACATGGCCAATCCTTCCAGCAATTTTCTGGCAATAAACTCGCTTCTCTAACCGGAGTTACGTTAGGCCAGAAGTTTCACGTGATGGTGAAGTCCCTCCTTAAGTCCGATTTCAAGTTATCAGTATCGGGATTCCGGTGTCCACATTCTCCATAGTATCAATTGTTTTACTTGTAACGATAATACTGAAGCAGTAGTTGCGATTTGACCGGCACGGGCTACGTCCGATAAATGTCCAGTGAAGCTAATTCGAGCTGTGCTCCCGGCTCTATAAAACTCAGAAAACAAATAAGCTGTTGCGATTTGACCGGCACGGGCTACGTCCAATAAAGGTCCAGTGAAGCTAATTCGAGCTGTGCTCCCGGCTCTATAAAACTCAGAAAATCCTTCAAATAAGCTTTTTAAATTTTTTTTGACAACATCCAGCCGGCAAATGGTTTGGCTAGTTTGACGGTCAGCCTCTGCAGTAAAATCACTGCGGCTTTACATATATGGCAATGCTCTACAATAACGGTTTTTCACCTTAACCTATTCGTTTTCCAACTCCTGTCTAGCTTGCTTGCGTTAGAGACAAAATACCGTTTAACAGTGTGACCAGAGCGAAATACGTCACTTCGCTGAATTGTAACTTTCCTATACATGTTTCGTCCAATACAGCGGACAGTTTTTGCCTTCGAACACGCTGACAAACAGCGTTGATGTTAGCCTCCTATCAGACAGCACAAAGTATGAGGTCAAGGTGAGTCTCTACTTGTATCCGAAATGAAATAACTTAAATATTTCTCTTCTGGTCTCATTGCCATCACCTTAGAGTGAATAACAGCCACTGAACGCACTACTTCCTGTCTGAACTCGATTAAATATCAAACGTCCTGGAGCAGGTGGCCAACCACACTGCTCTTTCTGTCAAGGTATTGAGGTATCATGACTACAGCATGACGCGAAATTACTATTTACTTCCTTTGGTCTAGTTTTGTGGCTGTATGTTATTCCGGTTGTCTTGCCACCAAGCTGTTATACACTGTTTCCAGCGGAAATTTTCGGCTCAGTGACGCTCCTTGACGTGTATTATACTAATACTAGACACAGCTAGTTCGCACCGATACCACATTCCTTAAGTCGTGTTGTACACATTGTTTAACACAACCTTTCAGGTGATACGAACCGGACCATCCACCCTTCACCTGATCTCAAACGGTAGCCTCCTATCCGTTGAAGTACATCGGATGTCGTCAGATGGCTTACTTGTGTGTCACGAGCTAGCCAGTTACATGACCTATTGTCATGAAGATGCAGAAGGATATAGAACGGTGATCAACAACCGTAGCGTCACATTTTTCAAGGAAAGCGATCCATCTGTGCTTCGGTAGGTTATATATGTTTTGTTTTGGAGTGTTTAATTGACGTATTTTCCCGAGTAACATTATGGATTTCGCGGTTGTGTTTCCTTTTCTTCGGGTACACATTCAGAATCAAATAGGCGTTGAGATTTCGTAACCACGCCTGAACTATTGTGGCTTTCACTACTATTAGGGGTCAGAGTGCAGTTCAAGCAGAGTAGTACTGCCGCTTTGGGATTGAATGAACCCGTTTTGTTTCGGTTTTCGGCTGTTTTGTTATCTAAGTGTCTGCATGAGATATTTCCAAACAACACCTTATAGTCGGGCTCTTGGTGACCATGGGGGCATTTCTTCGGGTCTTTGAAGGATATATGTTTTTCGAATTGATCATCTGGGTTTATTTTTTAGCGATACTGCTCATCTCCCTTTCCAACAGTTCGCATTCGACCGGGAAACTGCTCCAGTTCACTGTTTTAGATGGGGCACACGTCTCTGCGAACGAGATCTATGCTTTGGTCGAAGTGATGAAATTGGTTTTGGAGTTACGCGTCCCTGCAGCTGGACGGATCACACTGAAACGGCTCCCTGGATCGACACTTGAACCTGGTACTGAATTGGCTTCGTTGCAGTTGGACGACCCAACCCAGATGAAATGTGTGCAGCTCTACACGTACGGAAATCCTAATTTTATGTTCACCGAATCCAGGTTTCTTAACTGAGTTATCAGCCAGATAAACCAGCAGTCTGACGTTTATTTCATGCGCTCATTTTTATTTCTCGGATTGGTTCATTACGATAGTCTATTCCATCCATTGTTTTAAGTAATTACATCAGTGCGTATTCTCATTTAACCTGGATTTGGCCGGATTTTCTGGAATTCCATCGGTATGCTCTTGAGTTTCATGCCGTCAAACAGCTCACTCCCACTCGTTTGCTTGTGATTAGGGGTACTTTAGCGTTGGCTTCTCTTAACCGAATCCATGTCGTTCTCATTCAATTTGGTCGTTATCCCAATGGAATCGCACCATCGTTTCTATGATATATGATCTTTCTCCGTACTTCTGATGAATTCTAGTTAACCAAACGGCCCTCCTCACCTTCACATGTCCCGAACTTAGATGCTCTGAAACTAAGTGTATTACACTCTTGGGGAATAGATTCAGGACCTTATTTAACCTTGGGTGCTAGTTACCTGATTGGACCGTATATCACACTAGTTTGCTGTTAGCTGCTATTGTGCACTGGTAACTAGGTTCAGGATTATAGCTCACTTCACACATCGCAAGGTAGCGGTCTACGACGCTGCATGGTTCAGTAGGTCTTTTCGGCCACGCTTGTCGTTTTCCTATTTCCTATGACTGCAACTCGTATGACCAGGGTAGCCATAAACGTTTTTCGCTCATTTGGTAAACTTTCAGTGGACCTCTCATTCTTCCGTGTGGGTCCGGTTCCAGCAATTCCCTTGCCCGAAGAATGACGATCCAAGGTGACTTGGGGATAAATTTTAACTCATTTAACTGTGTGGACTCCACAGTCGCTGCAAAAGCAAAGCGCGGTTCAACAGACTCAGCTTTACCATCGAACCGTTCATCCGAAAGCCGGTCCTCGAGTCAGTCACCCGCTATGCTATCGGGTTTACCCTCTGGGAAATTGCATATCCGCTTTTCCAATATATTCGCCTCGTTGGAACAGGTACTGCTGGGATACGCACTTCCTGAACCGTTTCTGACTTCGTGGCTCAATCAGAGTTTGGATCAGTTGATGAGCTTGTTGCATGACCCTCGGTTGCCGTTATTAGAACTGCAGGTGAGTAGATAGCCTAATATTGTATGCGTGTGAATGTACTGCTCTTTCTCTTTTCAGTGTCTTTTCACACTTTTTATTTCATTATACCAAATTAACGTATCTCTGGGTGATAGTGACGCAAAAAATGTCTCAACCTTTACCGAAGCCCTATCTGGAATCTGTGGCCGAATTTTTCAAGCTCAAATTAAACTGTCATCTATCCTTTTTAATGAGAATTAAAGACAATGAAGTTCTGGTTAAATTTAATTTGCCCCCCCCGGCGTCTTGCTAGTACTAATATCAGTGGTTTAATAGACGACAACTTTGGATGGACGAACTAGGCGCGCCGGACCTTACGTGGAATGAGTGAAACATCAGGGAGAAACGAGATTCACTGGTAGGAAAATGGGGTCAGCAAAAGTAGTTGTGACAAATGGTCTACTAGTAGGTCGACATAGGATATTTAGTATGTACACTGGCCTAAAAAAACTCGCGGCTGGTATTTGCAGACAACAACATATTGAATAGTATTTTTCAAGTCAGCGGAAAGATTGAACAGTGCACAGAAGTCCATATTTTCATCAGTATGGATTATATCGCTGTCGTCTTTGGAAGGAATCATTTGGTGAATGTTGAGTGCGAGTGCATACAAGGTAGTAGGCGATGATAGTTGAGTATGACCAAGAGTTTCGTTTGCTCCTGTTCGAGATTCCGGAGGTTGGGGAAGGGGGATAACAACAGGAGATTCAAACAGCGCGTCCTCAAGTTTTATCGGCCGTCTTGAAAATGTCGGAAATCGTGCTTTTCGTTCCTGTTGACAAAGTTAAAACTCGACTCCTGCTATATATTCGCCTTGTGCAAAACCGTGGCTATCTGTTATCTGCATTGTCATCCCCGCTTTTAATATTTTGTCTTCTTCAAGAGTCCTTACGTATTTCAAAACATCCTCTCATGGCACCCTTGTCCTTGTATTGGTTCCTGTTGAGTGTTCTTGCCGCAAATGCACTTGTTTTTGCTCTCGTTTCTAGGATACAGTAGCCCATCTCGCTGGTAGGTTGCCCCCGCAAATGGAGCGCGAATTGCGGGCACAAGTGAAGCTTTATGCCGGTCAGGTTACTTCCGTTATGGCCAATTTTCCGTCCAACCAGATCAGGCATATTGTGGAAAGCCAAATGAATCGCTTACGTCGGGCACTTGGCCCAAAAACATCGGATACACACGGTAAAGCAACACAACACCCCGAACTGCTGAAATTTGAACAGACTGTTCAACGACTGACTGATCTTGCGGACCGGTATCAGAACGGTCTCCGCGGTCACGCCATTTACATCCTTGCGCAGCTGCTACTGGGTTACGTCGTTGTAGAAAAACACTTTCAATATGGTTAGTTGCATATCAAGTTACTCTCTTTTGTACTATTTACGAGTCTTCTCCGTTCAGCCGGTAGTTACAAACGATCAGGCCTGATCTTCCACCTTTTGGCTCGTGTACACAGTTTTATAAGTTTATTAAATATGCTTGAGTTTAGTTTTATTACTTTTTTTGCGATCATATTTATTACTCGCTCCTGGTGAAAGGAAGAAGGTCTTCGCTGCGGAGTTATTTATTAGAAAATGCCAACTGAAAAGTTACAGACTATTAGACAGGGGAGTAAAACCCTCATATGCATCTTGCTTATAAAACTGAATATCCATCTTCTCCTTGAACGAGTCTTCCTGAGCTTTCCTGGCTATGCATTGACTCTTACTCAATAACAAGCAAATGTTACAGGGCGACTCCACAAATTCCGTAACAGATCTCACTTTTCAAGAGACGCAAAGCGGATTTACGAGAAAACAGTACTACTCGCATACCTTTCCATCAGTAGTATCACCGTCACACTGGTAGTGCCTTCCTTTTATTCCTCATGTCACCTTCCGTTTTTCTCTTATTTGTGCCTAACTAGCCATTCCACCGAGCTTCGGGCCACCCAATTCTCTTTGTTGCGCTGGTAGTTTCCTCCATGTGTGCACCAGCGGTTGCTGGCTGTTCATAATGATTATCGTTCACATGCGCTGGCTTTCCTTCTACCAGTGCCAAATGACAGACACAATCCCTGCTCTTTCTTCGTCACCGACCCCTTTTGGGTTGCTCTGTGGAGCATCCCAATTAACTCAACCCCCAAATAATGTCTAATTAGTCTCATTAATTTTCAAGTTTCCCAATCGATTCACTTGTGGCTACCATGATTTCCCTCACCACAGGTCAATATGACAAGTGCATCCGGCTTTTGTTGTCCCAGTGTGCCAGCAGCACAGTTTGGGCAAATGAGTCTGCTATTGCTAGTGGTTCGGGAGATGGTCTGGATTGTGAAGAGCCTGACGAAAGCCATACGCCTTATCGAGTTTCGCCTAACTCCGTCGCACCCGCATTGAGGGCTTTGATACAACCCCGTACGTTTTCTGATGTAATGGCCGTGCTCTTTTCACATCGGCAGTTGTCCGCTAAAAACGTCCTATTAGTCCGGTTGATCGATCTTTTACGTGATAAGCGCGAACTGAGCACTGCTTATGATCTGAAGGGCAGCCTCAAAGCACTCACGGAACTCGGTGCTGTGGGGAACGCCAAGGTCGCGCTTTCCGCTCGTCAGCTGCTGATTTCGCTTCAAACACCGTCTTACGAGCTCAGACGAAACCAGGTGGGTTTTGCTGTATCTTTTTCGATTTTTTGTTAGATAATTTTTTCCTTTGGAATTGGTTAGTCACAAGCGACTGACTGTATTGCACACGTTCTCCTCTGGAATGTGGCTAAAACTATTTCAGATGTTCCACTTTATGTCTAAGGCCACAGTCTTACTAAGTGGACACATCTCCTTTTGTCACGCCGGGAAACCTTTGTATCTGAGTATCCATATTCCATTTATGTACCACCGGATTGGTAGCATTGTGGACAATGCTCCTATCATTTATGGATATTTCGTTTATCTTTGTTTCCAAAACTGATACATAAAACAGGGGTTATGGTCCTAGTAGAATGTTGGTCTGATTTAATCTAGTTTCAGTTGATTTATCAGGACCGTTTAAATACGCTTTTGTCAGACAGCTTATACTTATGCGTTGTTTATACAATGCCAAATCCCACCCACTCATGATTAATCTTGCTAAACTGTAGCGAAGGGACGATCGTTTGCTCACTTCAGCAACTGGTTGGGCTACACGGGGGGATACTCATATGGCATCCACTGGGTCTCTTCTACTAGGTCAATAAAAGCGGTCCGTGGTCCTCCATGTTGAAGGTTGGAACAAGTGTGGCAAGCTGTTCCCTGAAAGCTAAACTACTGGATTGATTTTAGACCAACTACCCACTGCTTTGCAGGAAAATACTTTTGTTGATGACCCCCATCGTCTTCCTGTCATCCTTGGTAGTATCTCATCCCATACACCACCATGAAGTACACAAGCAGTGATAGTTGAACGTCGGTATTTGTTACTGGTACATTGCTGTCAATGACACTGAAGTCGTGTACAAACAATTGTGAACACGAATCACGCCCACATACAGTATGGCCTATTTCCCGTCGTTAAATCAACCTTATGTTTGTTCGCAGGTGGCGCTCGCCAAATTTCGGTAATCATGCCGCTCATGCAGTGGTTTCCTTGACCGTAACATTTTGGTGACGTTTTTCATGATCGATTTGGACTTGCGGAAGTTCATCAACTATATGCTAACCTCTCTCCGGTCTCGGTACTAAGTATACCTGCTACCAGTCGTTCAGCTGTAGCACCCTTTCGGTGCCTAGCTGCCATGCCACACAAATGAAGTACGATGCCTGGGACACTGTCAGGTCGCCCAAGCCTAGACAGGGGAAGTCGAGAGACAGAGGTCGGGTTCGAACGACGGACTTTCCGGTCAGTAAATTCGCGCTCTAACCACTTGGTCCATCTCGCCGCTGTAAAACAGTGACTCGTTGTTTCACGACTTCACATTATGCTTCTGAAGGACTTGAAGCTGCTGACAGAACCAGTCCAAGCTGGGACATGGTCTGTAGTCCACCACCTGTTCGCGATTTTCCTGTGACATTTAGCGAAGTATTTCTTGCATTTTGTGTGATGGATTAGGCAAGGATTTATTTTCTCTGGTTTTTACCCCCAGAAATATGCAAGCTGACCCCAAACAAAAACGGTTATAATGTGTGGGCGGTTGCCGTACAGTAACACAATGTGGACGCCTTCCAAACTAAAAATAGTGGTCACTTCAATGCGTACAACCTTTGTAGTTAAAAAAAGAGTTGACATTGCAATTGCACAATAAGCGAATTTGATGTTCCTCTTTTAGGCAGAATCGATCTTCCTCTCCGCTGTTGATGTGTATGGCCACCAGTTTCATCCAGAGAACCTGCGTAGGTTAATTGAATCGGAAACGGTCGTGTTTGACATATTGTCAGACTTCTTCTATCACCCAAACCCCGCAGTCGCTGGGGCGGCTTTGGAGGTAAGTTTTTTCGTCCACACTCTGCCCTTATGACCTTGGTCATCTGATGCATGTGTCACCTTTACGGGCAAAGCTGCACTTCAGGGACCAGACAATTTCAACATGCTTCGAAGTTTCTGTGACTATGGTAAGCAAAAGAACGCGCATGTAAGCTTAACTACCTGGCCAAACAGAGCTAGCAGAGCCGGCTTCTCCTCTGTTATGTTATGTCGTGTAACAGAGCGCAAACATCCATTCGAATAAGTTAAAATGTCCCTCATCGCATGGTACTCTAAAATGCAACAGCCGTACGGAAGCAACTCGTTCCCGGGGCCTCTGTTATGAATTGTTAGTGTCAGAGATTACGTCAACTGTGTACCGTATGCTGTCGTTACTTCAGGACCAAACGACCTACCTGTTCAATCTTTTGAACACAAGGGGTTCACTCATGCTGGCCTAAAAACTCGTCTACGTTGGCGCACTGTACTGAGTTTTTGGACTGACGTACGCCAGATTTTACAAATTTTTACACGTTTATTGCGTGTTCCTTCTTCAACTGCTGTTCCACCTATTCAGGATCCGTTACGCGTCTTTTCATAGAATTTCACTTGATGGACAACTCAAAGCACAGGCCCAATCTAACGGTTACCTTTTCACTTGTGTTCCACCAATATTCATTAATCTACTAACGCACACAGTGTTCGTCACAATGCTGTGCACATGTCAGCGTTAATTTGAAGTGCCATCTGGTCGGGCAGCTCACTCGACCTCGATGAGAGGCTACTGCAGGATTTTACACTTAATTTGGGGCCTCTTGAGCTCATCCATTTTTTATTTATGTCCCAGTCAATTATTCTAACTCGGTATTCTGTGAGGTTTCCCGTTTTGCCACCCAGGTTCACGTTCCATCAGTGTTCGATTGTGGTCGGCAATGGCGTTACTGCGAGTTTTCTGATCGAATCTGGGGGACCCGTGTCACGTGTCACGTTACTGTGACCTCGTGTCGTGGTTGAAGCAGATCTCATCGTGCAAAATGCATTTAAGCCCTCCGTACAATGTCCGGACATGAACGACCATCTCACGCTTTTGAGCATACAACGTTGACAGGTTGCACGCATTCGTCAGCGGATGATGTCACCACACAGTAGCTCGCAGCTGCATGGTCGATTGAAACATGGTAGGATCTAAGGTTAGCGATCCAGAAGTACAAGATTTATTGGCGTTACGGAATAGTCAAGCAGAATGCGCGGTCAGGATTTGATTCCCATCTCTCTGGAATATGCAACCTATTTTTTATGTGAAAATCATTGCGCATTTCTAAGTGGATAGCGGAGATGACCGTTTCTTGGGCATATCTGTCAATCACATAACTTTTCCGTACTCTTACTAACGCTCCAGGTCCGAAAAACGATACAAACCCCGAATCTAGACTTATAGAGTCAACCTACGCTGTCACTAAGCGGGGGGTGTAAAGCTGCTTCAACCTTAGTGAAAATCACTATCAGCTAATCTCACAGTTATCTTGCAAAATTCAAAGCTGTAGCTTTCTAGGTAGAAGTTTAGGTCACCTGATGCATCCTCCAGGTGCTCATTAATGTTGATTCCCACAAGGCAGAAATAGCTATACTGCGCCTCTAGACGTCTCAAGGTAAATGCATTACCGGGAGTTCGCAATCCTCCCCCTACTTTCCAAACTGATTGACCAATAATACACTTAAGAAGACGCACGAGTTTGGGTAACACATCAGTTTGTTCACTCCCAATTGCCTCTAACGGATTTTACGATTGGGCCATCGGCTTGTCTGTTTGATACTGTGACCTAATCTCATCATTATAAATAGTCCTACTAACGGATCGGCCCCTAAAGCAGAAATAAGTAGACAGGATGACCCTCATTGCATCGTGTGGTGGAACACAATCATGTCATTGGAAGTCTAGATTCTTTCGTCCTCTACACCGCATCATTAGGGTCAATTGTCTACAACAGCCGGTAGATGTACTGTAAACCTCGACTGCACCTCTGACAGATATACGTTTATCCTTTGCGAAAATCACGAATTGAAGCTTAATTGGTGGGTTTTCAATGTAACTCATAATGCTTTTCTTTTCACATTCAAAGGTCTATGTTCGCCGCGCCTATACAACCTACGAGTTGACTAGTGTTCAGCACGTTCAGTTGCCCAACGGTGCATCGTTTGTCCCCTTCCGATTTACTCTGCCCACGGCCCAGTGTTTAGCAAAGTGAGTTTGGGTACTTGATTGTTCTTTATCCTCTCCATTTTACCGTTACTTTAGTCCACTCGTTCCTCATGCAGATGGTGACCGTCACTTTAGTTAAGTCTAATAGGAAGCTCGCATCATTTCGAGATTTGCTCAGCTAACACCATTCATCCCGTTTATGATTTTTTTTTCCTATTTCTAAATACCCCACAGCACCCGAGACAGTCAAACCACCGAGTGCCTTTCGTCTTCCATAAAGGCTGTTTCTACCGATGGCGTCTTATTCCCCGCTGATTTGTATGCTGCGGGGGATCTGGCCAGCAATTTTAGTGTTCCTGCCGTCAGTTTGGCGGATCAAATTCACCCAAGTTGTTATGTTTGGGGCAATGTTTCGTCTGATTCTTCTTTACGGCTGCCGCAGGCAGCAGTCTCCCGGAGTCTGGCTGATGTAGACACCGCCTCAATGATGGGTGAACGAATGGGTGGAATGGCCGCATTCAACTCATTGTCAGACCTTGAAGAGTGAGTGCTATTTTGTATTCGAGACTGACACTCTGAAATGAAAATACAGTGATTAATGCCATATATGCTCCCCAGTTTTTTTTCATCACGCCTTGACTTATCTGGTCTCATTTAGGTGCATAGCGACCTGATGCGAAGTGACTTCGTAAGGACGCAATTGTCGACCGTCGATTTTTTGTGTGCTTTGTTATTATAACAATTGACGTTCACGATTTAGGTACACGAACACCTGTCACGCGCCGCTGCCATTCCCAGCTAATTTAACTCCAGCAGTCTTCTCGGTATGTTTCTATTAGGACCGAGTTGTCACGCAAGTTTTTGTTCAACAGTTCCCACCACGGCGTATCAAACATAACCTGTCTTCCGGCTGTCAGAATGTTTGGTTATCTTGAAATTTTGTGAAGATTGAGCATTTTGTGTAACGTTCAGTTCGGCATGCTGGTTTTGGTTTGATACTGTTTTTTTCATTATAATAGAATCGTAGATCTCGCTCAAGGCTGTATCAGAAGGTGATTCTGGACACAAGTACCTGTGGGACTTGTCACATAGATGCCTCTGTTCAATGTAGCAGCTACGTTTCACCCTGCTTTACAAAATAAACAAGTAACCAAGTGTTCAGCTGTACTACGTGGTACTTACGTAGCATGCCGCTGTAAGGAACCATGAAGGCTTAGATACGTGACAGATGGTGAGGTTAAATTTGAACGACTTATTTTGCTGTTGGCAAATTCGCGCCCCGTTTACTGGGATATCTCGAGCTCACATGGATTGTGTAGTGAAAACTCTTCACTGCTATTTACCTGTTCCAGATCTTACGAGTCTGCTGGGATAGAACTTCATGTCACATCTACGTCGCGCTTAAGCTACGCGCATTCGCGTTTGGTTTACTACCAGTTGACTAAATACATTAAAACTGTGCTGTGTAACGGTAGTGACGCCACGATTCCTCAAGCTTCAGCTCCTTAAAAGACGTCAATTAGTGGTTTGGTACAGCACATCACTTCCTTAAAGGAACGTTCGACAGCGGATTTTGTGGCTTTTTGGTATCCTATTCAAAAACACTTCATGACATCACAGGGCTGTGTCAGCTTACCTAGCATCTGATTCTTACGGCACGTGATTAACCTTGAGTCTACTACTATGACGTCTGCTTTACTGTCCGACGTCTGGGTAATGGAATGTGATGGTTCACCAACCTCTGTTTTGAAAATTGGCGGCGATTGAGAGAGATTTCACGCAAATTGTAATGTCAGTTTCGGTGAGTTTGGTTGCTCGCTTATTGCCATTTACTATTATAGTTACTACAGTGCTCGTATTAGCAGTTGAGTGAGTATCTTCTTGGCCGTGTAGGAGTTCTGCTCTGAATACACCACACATGAACGGCTTCCGCTAGAAGGCCGAATTGTTAATGCAATCTGTCTTGTCCCGTTTTTTTGGAATTTCGTCTGTCCAGTGATTGCGTTCATGTGTCCTGGTTTACTTGTTCCACTGCACGCTTCAAATTGAGCATCTCCACAAATCTCCTTCCTTCTGTTAGATCGTTCGCCGATATCATTAACTTGTTCATGGACGCTTGTTCGGAGGCAAAGACAATGCAGGGCTCATTCTCAGAACCGTCATTGTTCAACTTCGGTCGCGTTCATTTCCCCAACTCTGATAATGGCCCATCTCAGGAGTCCACCTATCGATGCCCACCTATGGTTGTCTTCCAAGATCCACCTTATCAAACGGTAGGTCAATATTGTTGTTTCCGCCCAAATATTGCAGGCTTTTGTTGCCGGAAGGCTGCGTAATTTTACCGTTTTTCTTCCATATTATCCGTATAAACCGTCCTCTTTCGGCCGTGTTTCGGGGACTCCGTTTGGTTCACCTGACGACGCGAAGCACGACATTGCAGTGTCGCTCTTTTAGGGCGTATCCTTGACTGTACCCAGCATGATACCTGATATGAAAATTAAACTTGTCATCCCTTCTTCACGATGGATAAACCTGAATTGTCACATCCGAATGGGCCTATATGTTCGCACTCTGAAGGATGTGGTCGGATAACTCAACGTATTGGGTGTATGGTCTTCTCCTTTGAATCAACACTCGGGCGTTGACTGTAGAGGTGTCCTATTTGGCAGGGTCGACTGTTGATTCTCAGCTGAATTGACGCATGTCTTACTATGTGCTTAAGTTGACTGATAATGCATTCTGGTGGCTGAGATGGGCGAGGGCACAGTCCAATGTGATGTGTCAGGCATTTGGAAATGATAAGCCCCCATGTAAGCCACAGTCATCACATTTGTACTTCTTTGAAGGTGTTTGCGGCTGTTTTCTAGGTGTGCACAGGCCGTTTTAATATATTGGTTGTTAGAATCCTTTTCCCATCTGCTTTGACATGGATTAACTTCGCCTAGTCTAACAGTGTCCGATGGTTACGTATTTCAATGGGGAAGCTACCGATTAATCTGTTGAGATAATTACTTTCGAGTGAATCAGTTAGCACATATTCTTTTACTCGGGTTGCACGTTCCAACACCTATGTGTGTTTATTCTACAGTGCTTGACTAGTACTTATCTTCTGGTGCCTGCTCCTGGTGTAAGCATCTCCGGAGCAAAAGACGTGCCCGTAGCCACAATTTCACGTTATTGTCAGTGCTGCAATGGTTGTGCCCTTGTGCACGGCTAATGGTGTCTCTTAAAGTCAAAGAGACTTCGTTTTGAATGTATAGAATTCACACAGTCATTATTTTTTGAACAGTCTGTCCCTTTCCTGGCATCGGATCTTTCGAGCGTGAACATGTTCACTTGGTCGGGCTTGCTTTAGTACCGTACTGGTTACACGCTCTCCTCGCATGTCCTATGTCCAGAGTTCAAATCCCACAATCTCATGGGAGCGAAGCTCGAACCCAGTGTTTTCTCTCCTAGGCATGGGCTCATCAGAATGAATTGCGCAGGGACACGTAGAGGACTGTTCCATCAAGAGTGTTGCAAACGTAAATCCTTGTCGGCGCAAGACTGATTAATCAGACAAACAAGTCAATGAATAAACCTCCAAATCAATGCAGCACTTGTTTTCTTTTGCTTCGGCTTGCTTTTATTGCATCAGGTTTTTGCCTCCGTTGATCAAATACTATCACTTCTCACATTAGTAAGATCGCCTTTCTAAAAAGATGATGATGTCGTCATCGTCTTCACTGTGATTCGACTACCCACACGCTTGCATGTTAACCGCGAAAACCTACCTTAATCAGCTGGAAATCGACTGATTCTTTCTGCTCCTTCGTTCCTTGTGCTTACATTTTCACCTCAGACGACATCTAGGATTCGGAAGGTAACGTTTTCTGTTTAGTTGCTGATGAAACACCTGGCATTTGCTTGTTAAATATCCTTGGTTATTTGCACAATATCTTTTCTTGCGTTTTTTGCTCTGCCTGCGTTTTTATTCAGCATACTTTCATCTGGTTGCCCTATCGACCGCTTATCTTTTATGGTTTTGCCTTCTGATATACGCGGAAAATTTTTTGCCCGTACTTCGTCGCGCGCTTTCTGTTTTCGGCAGGGTTCTGTTGTTTGCGGTGCTCCGCAGTGTCCACTTTTTTTTAAAAATGTTCATACTCTGTTGAAACTGACCATCTTGTGGATATTGTTTGCCTGATGATCATTCTTCTATCACGAATGTGGTAGCGGATTTATGTTGTGATATGCACTTATGTGTTGACTGCTGTAGGTAGCTATTTACAAGGGCATATTTCTTTAACTTGTACTCTTTGGATTTTTTTGTCAGACTAACCCAGAGGAGGAACCTATTCACATTCTTAATATTGCCATACGACATTCTGCAGTATGGAGCGACAACTGCTCACCCTCAGAAAGTCCGTTGTTTCACAGTGGGGAATTTTTCCGAAATACGGATACTGGAGCGGCACACATTTCCAGTGGACCAACGGAAGCTGACGATGTAGCCCAATTGGAGTCCTTTTGTTCGAAACATCATGAACAACTTCGCTTTGCAGGAATCAGGCGAATCACTTTTCTGATAGTAAAGACCGTAAGTTGGTTCATGTATCTTTGGTTCATTATTCTTGGTTTTGTACTACGTAGGCATTCGACTGTGTTGCCGCTTACTCCAGACCGTTTCCCGTTAAAACCTGGAATCTCCGCAAAGTGTTGTTCCACACGTCACTCACTATTTTTTCCCGCTATGTATTTCAAGATGTGACAAGGTCGTAGATCTCGTTAAGTTTTGGTGGCGTACGGAAAATTTCAACGTCTTTTATGGAAGGTTCCTACGGCCTTAGGAGTTCGATTACATATGTTCTCTCCACCGCTACCGGGCTCCTGACCCGGATGTACTTCCATCCGCGTTGTTCAAGTACGGGAGTGCTTTCACTCAGCGTTTGCCCGATCTAATTGCCTCCTGAAGAAAGGAGACTATCCCAGACAACTGGATAAAATCGGTGGTGATGCCCATTTTCAAAACAGTGGTCTGTAGTAAATGTGTTAATCACAGATTGACTCCAGTCGTGGTGAAAATCTGCCACTTGTCCTTCATGGTGGCCAGACGGTGGCCTGTGAAGCAGCGATTCGCGAGCAGTAAGCTGAATTCTAGCTGGTAGGGGATTGCATTGACCAAATCTTCACAATCGTCAGGAGATCACAATCCGTCAGGAGATAGAGCAACGCCATACGTACAAACGACCCACAATTTTAACCTTCATAAATCTATCAAGGCGTATTCGACTCGGTTGACTGGTCTGTTCTTCTTAACATGTTCATCCATCAAGGAATGTCCCAGAAGTTCACAAAAATAGTAAGTCATTTGTAATATCAAACTTCTGGGAGTGCGAGCCCATGTGGGAAGCTCTCGAAATTTTCCGTACATATGGTGGTCTCCATCAAGGGCGCTCTTTCTGGATAGACTAGATAATTAGATGAACACTAGAGGATCGCCAAAATCCGGGTGTTCCAATAGCTGCTGACAACAATCTTGTTAGTCTGGAATATTCAGACGACATCCTTCTCGTCTTCGAAGTGGACAGAAAGATGCAGGGATTTTTAAATGAACTGAACAAAGTCCTCCAGTCCTTTGGCATGCACTTTGAACCCATAAAGTGTAAGGCGAAGCTCCTGGATATACAGTCAATGAACACCCCACTTACAATCAAGCTAGACACTCGAATTTGTGGTGCGGTTTACATACCCCGGAAGTTGCAACTATAGTATGACAGATGAGGTCAGTGCACGGAATCTGCAAGACTTGAATCACGTTTACTAAGTTAAGACATTTATTGCACCAAAGTCATATATCTCTGAATTTCAAGTGATGTATGCATCAGACTACAGTGCAGGCTGTTCTGTTGAATGGCTGTTAGACTTGACTTGTCTGAACCGCGGAATTGGCACGTTTTCGTATGTTTGACATTGTCGCCCCAGACCCTTAGCTCGTGCCGGCGGATCAGAAATGCGTAAACTAGAAGACAAGTGTCCGGTTGCGCAACGGGGAAAAAGTACGTCCAGCACCAAGCAATGGTCATCTATTGCGCGTACCCAACCATCGTTCGCCTAAGCGAGTACTGTTTTCCGTTTCTCCCAGTTCGAGGAGAGTGATCAACCTCTGACCAGCCAAAGGGCTGTGAAAATATGTTCGGTCAGCGTGGTTTCACCTTTGAGGTGGGGTCCGCTTGATCCCAACTGTGAACCTTTGGAGATAGTGCAAGACGTGAATGGAATCGATGTCACTCGTGTTCCTGTTGTCAGTTTCCATCCGGTCTCCGAATGAGTGGTCTGAGACTTATCAGGCCTGCAGTGAGGATTATGAAAAATTTGGGATCCACCTATACTTGGTTCCCTAACGATCTCGACACACTGCCTAAGTCAAACAAACCGTATGCGTCTGATGCACGTGTGTTATCGTTGGCCATGTGATGTTAATTTAAAATGAACTATTTCCAAGTGGTGCGACACATTCGTGTGCATTTTGCGTTTCTGTTAAAAGGAGACTGAACCGAATCCCAGTTGAATCATTCGTCTGTGTTATTGTTCAATTATACATACTCCATAAAGACTACTTGTTCCAGTTTGGTACGATATTCGAGATAGTGCAATATGTTTTCTTGACGAAGGACAATCCACAAAATTGTTCAAAAGTCTCCCACAACCCACCACCGCTTTGACATTCCTTGTAATCCATCAGGTGTAATTCGCCAATTGTCTACACTTTCGAAATCAAACGCTGTGAATTGTTGCTTCGTAAACAGTTTGGAACAACTGCATTTGCTTAGTCAGATTTCCGGCACAGCTTGACTTAATTTCCATGGTTCACGTAGGCCGCTCATGGTAGAGGTTCACAATGCGCATGATTGAGAAGGTGGATGCCTAGTCATCTTTAATGTGGTAATTTTATACCCATCTGCTTGCTAAAGAGCGTCCACAATGAATCACCTTGCTATAACTGTTGTGGTGCTCTACGATACCATAATACTTTCATCAAACACTTTGGGGACCTGCCGTTATTAAATGTTATTGTGCTGGATACTGGTTGTCTTACATATTCAATGCATTGTTGTTACAACTCCGCCATATGCTCATTTCTGTTTCTCGTATTCTTGTGTGTAAGTCACTGATCGCGTTTTGTTCATCATTCCCTATTCATCCTATCACTCGTTTTTTGTATTAGTATCGAAACCACATACGCTGTTTTGAACTGAATACCCTTGGGCCTTTCCCCTTACGGACACTGCAAGTCTCATCTGATGAATCTAGTTGGTGTAGTGTACTCTCTTCCTTCCATTCCGTCCCACAGAGAGAATTTCCAAAGTGCTACACTTTCAGAGCTCGAGATAATTACCGCGAAGATAGAGTCTATCGGCATCTCGAACCGGCTTTGGCATTTCAGTTGGAATTAAACCGAATGCGGAAATACGAACTTGAAGGGCTGCCTTCGTGGAATCGTCGCATGCATTTGTACCTGGCTAAAAGTAAAGTAAGCTTTCGTGGTTACACAACTGCCTCCACTCGCTACCGAACATCTTACCGTGTATTTTTTTCGATGGTTTACCCCTTAAGAACCCAATAACCGAATGCCGATGTATTGTGTGACTGTATCTAGACACCCGCAATAGTGTCCTGTAGGACTATTTTACTTTAAGTCTCTGTTCAGTCTCAGCCCGTATTAGCCCTTCCTGCGAGTTGCAGTTCCAATGTGTAATCCGAACTAGTCAACACTTGCGTTGGCTTGCTTTATACGAATAATTACCACTGTTTGTCGTTCGTATGCAAAGTTAGCCTATTCAAATGTGTTTGTATCACTGTCCTTTCGCATAACTTTTCAAGGTTGGGGCTGGAAAATCAGCCGTGGATTACCGATTCTTTGTCCGGTGTATCGTCCGTCATGCGGATATGCTTTCTCGTGAGGCATCTTTCGAGTTTCTTCAGTCTGAAGCCGAACGCACTCTACTAGAGGCCATGGACGCGTTAGAACTGGCTTACACGCATCCGGATGCTGTTCATACAATGGGAAATCATATCTTTCTCAACATTGCACCTATTCTCTTTTTGGAAGACATAAATCTCTTGAAAACCACAATCCGAAGGACTGTCTTACGATACGCTCGCCGATTCATTCGACTGCGGGTTACGCAGGTAGGTGCTGAAGTTTACAGCCTTGTTGTTAGTGCGAATGATAACGGTGATAGTGTCACTTTCATGTTGCCCTGTTAACTATCATGGAAACATGATTGTTTTTATACCTCATTTCCTTTTCACATAGGCTGAATTAAAGTTACGTATTCGGCTACAACCATCAGAGCCACCTATCCCCCTTCGAGTTATGCTGAACGATCGCCAAGGCTATAATCTAGCTTTAGATATCTACCGAGAGGTCTATGATCCCTCTACTGGTGAGGTGCTTCTCTGGTCTTTGGGTCCACCTCGAGGCCCCTTACATGGAGAACCTGCTCTCTTACCTCACAAAAACAAGGATTATCTTCAATTGAAGAGATTCCAGGTAGGTTCAGTTCTATCTTTTTAAATTAAGGCTTTGTGCTTGGTGTTGTATTGAGTTCTCTATTACTGCCTCTTGTGCACCCCTGAAGGACGCAATAAGGAGCAGCAACGCTATTGCGAAGCACATGTTCGGAGCCGGCAGTTCCATCACACGAGGGATGTTTACATCTCATCAGCTCGTCCAGAGTGGTTTAAGCGGTATGACCGAAGTGGAATCTTTTGGAGACACGAGCGTGTTTTAGCAACAGATCATACATTGATCCGGAAAAACAACGAGGTCTAAGCAAGTTGTGTGTGTCACCTTATTTGACACAAAGTACGGACGTTTAAAGCCGCGAGGTTGATTTAATATGGGTTCGTTTTTATGTATAATTTACTGATCACAAGCCCAGATACGAAGCAACGGTTAGGTGACTGACAGAAAAATGCATCCGAAGAACTTGAGTAAGGGCTGTATGGAGAGCCAACGCTTTCTAACCTGTCCTTCGTCGGAGGGAGAGCACCTCTGAGAGAGGAGCACCTCTGTTTACATATATATATATATATATATATATATATATATCGATATGCTGACTGTCTGAAGGAAACGCTTTACTGCATCGTACGGCTAAAGCATAGGACATTGCGACTTTACCTGCAGACCTCTGCTTTCCTTGCATCCCAAACCGTTTACAGCCCCACTTTCTCACAATATCGCCGGACCTTTTAGGATTGACAAATCTATGATCTCCTTTACTGAATTCAAGATACATTTCAGCTCCTCAATATCGTTCCAAGAACCATTTTCTTACAATTAGCAGGGGATTATGAACTGGCAACAAACTCAATTAGACTCTTCGTTCTGTATCCATCTCATTTCTTGTGTTTCGCACATTCTTACATTGTTCACTTAATCGTTTCTTCTGGTCTATTGAGGGTATATTCTGAGGGCTTCACAATGGCTTCAGCCGCTACTCTGGTATTTTGTCCAACTATCGTTTTTCGCATCTCATTTGTGTGCCTATTCTGAGGTGCGTAAGCGTATTCTTATGAACTGTTCTCAACCCCTTCATCCCATTATAACCAACCAGATTGAGCATTCGAATAAGGCTCACTTTACCATATCTATGTTCACGCCACGTCACACAACAAGCAATCCTTCACACCCAAGTTGGACTCCTATTTCACAAGTACTAAAACCACAGTAACAGAATTTTAAGAGCACTTTCCTGTAACACTTTGTGTGTGTGCATTTTACAGCCCCGATTGTGATGAGATTTCATTGATACTTTGTCATACTGACTTGACTTGGAGACAGTGTGTCGATCTTCCAAGAGTGATGGAGTCTTCGTTACCACAAAAGGTGTCTTCTATATCGCACCTCAATGTCTTACGTAACTTTGTTCTTTTCACTACAGGAAATGGGGAATCCAGTAGAACAACCGTTTTTATGAAAACGTCTTGTGCGATCAACACAACTTTTAGACCAGATCTTTCTGCAACCCAGCATTGTTAGGCCACTTCTTAAAGTTCTACTCTGCTCACTCACTGACTATGAAAGTGGCTCTCTGTCGACCCAATGATTGAGGCTATCCCCATTCATCGAATACTGAGAAGCAATCGATACTTAACGCAATTTATCGACGAACCGCTACAAGCAACCAATTCTGCTGTGGAATGCTGACCGAGGGTCTGACATAGTATGGATATTCTGCCGCCATCATTTATTTGGACCTATACTTTTTTTCGAAACGGACAGTGTCCACTGGTTCTCACTATAGAGTCGCTGAACGCCCACGACGGTACAAGGTTGCACAATTCGGTTCTATTATGACGGCGTTTACACTGGACACATCAGCGAACATCGACAACATTTGCGGGCTCCAAGATACGCTAGTGCACTAAACAGTTACTGACTAACTGACTAATTGACATGACCCAGTTGTTCATCAGCGGTGACAGTCGCGATTCCTACTTGGTAAAAGAGTGATCATGCTTTCTCAGTCAAACCGAGTGATCCAGCTTTATGAGACTGCCAAATCAAGACGATCTGGTCACCTAAATCGACACCTTACTTGTTTGTCAACTGAGTGTTCATTCTTCATCGGATGCTAAGAATTTTCGAATTCCGCTTGATTCTTATATTATGTATGGTGCTTACCTTTGTACTTTTTTGTCCAGGCCCGTAAATTTAACACGACCTATGTTTACGACTACCCGAAATTGATTGAGCAAGCACTTTTGGACCTATGGAGGACATACCGACCCGATCAAGATAAGCAAGAAATGCTTGTTGGAGACCCTCACTCACCAGGCGCCGCTTTGCAAAGCGAGAATGTCAGTAAACCTCCAATTAACGGTTCTTCTACCCATCAGAGTTCTTCACAAACCAACTACCCGAATACCTATTTGGGCGGTGAGACAGAAGACCCTGTGGTAATCTCCTGCACCGAACTGGCCCTGGAGAAAGATGGCCAATTGCATCCAGTAGTTCGTAACCCAGGTTCTAATGCAGTGAGTTATTAGTTTCCAAATACTGACCAATCGAGTTTCGAAACGAAATCATATTTTTAGGAACAAAATAACCGACTTATCTCTATGCTGTCGCTTTTATTTTCGGATGTACGTGCGCAACATTGCCAGTTTTTTGGTACATAAGATGCTTGAAAGTTGCTCTAATACCTTCAAGGTTATCTCACTTTACACTGCCCTACAGTTTTAATAAATAAGTTCCTGTCTTTTTCCCAATAGATTGGTATTGTCGTATGGCATATGGTTCTCCGAACTCCAGACACCCCATCAGGCCGCGCTATTATCGTGATTGCAAACGATGCGACTCACATGGCTGGTTCATTTGGTCCTGCAGAGGATCTTACGTTGCATCGTGCCAGTCGTTTGGCTCGTCAACTCGGTATTCCTCGCATTTATCTGGCGTCAAACACCGGTGCGCGAATACGCGTAGCAGAAGAAGTGAAAGAAGTATTCCGAGTTGCGTGGCTCGATCCAGCACATCCGGAAAAAGTGAGTTCCCTCTTACTGTGCAACCACTACGGTATGCACTCAGCCCATTAATGTGATTTCAGTAACATCTGAAGCGATTGTTTTTCCTAATGTCTCGTTCGCGATCGGTGCTAGTACTGTGGAGAGTCGCTGACTTCCAGGGATGTTGTTCGCAGGTTGTAGATTCGTTAGCAAAAGCAGCCAAATAACCTTGCCTTGACAGCTTACCTTCCCCCGTAGCTTCATACCTGTTCTGGTAAATAGTTTCTTATGAGCTCGGCGGACTGCATCATGTAACCTTTTCCAGCAAAACGAAGTTTAACAATATTATGTGAAAATCAGCCCTGTGAATTCTATGGATGAGTTCACCTTCTGGGTTCAACTGTTGCGGATGGTACTAACCTGTATCATCAACATCAATGTCAGCTGTAATAACCGCGTACTTGCCGTACTGTGGTTGTAGCTGCCACAGCTTCGTTCACCGACGATTCGGGGAGGTGGCGTAGGTGGCTCCACACTGGAGGCGGGAGCTGATAAATTCGTGCGTAGATACGGCACTGTCAGTGAACGATTAAGAGGGGGAATTGGTAAGGAAGCTACGCATTGAAGGCAATAGCTTGGATGCATGAGCGCCATTGAGGGGGCGACTTGGCCATGTCTGACACTGTCTTTAATCATTGATATGACCCGTCTCGGGGTCCCCATCCAGGAAACGGAAATGACCAGCGCAGCTGAATTTTCTTGTAATAGCTTTTATACCTGCCAAGTCGTTGTTTGACCGCCTCTGACTGGTTTCCACCCTTCACGTGGTTTTGCGAAAGGGCCTTTCGAGGAAGTCGGTCGACTGGAATACGCAGCACGTGGTCAAACTAGCGCAACCTATGCAGTGTGATCGGTTCATTTATCGAGAGTGAGTTATTTCAAGCGCAACCTATGTAGTGTGATCGGTTCATTTATCGAGAGTGCGTTATTTCACTCGAATACCATTCCACGTACTTCACCAGATTCGGGCAATACTCCGCAGACATCGATGTTCAAACACTGAAAGCCTTTTGACGTCCTCGGTGCGTAGAGGCCAAGTTTCTGATCCATATGGCCCATTGTCCAGAATATATAACCTCTGCTGAACACACAACATATCTGTCAGCTGCTGAAGGTATTATAATCGAATTGTCCTCCTAAAGAACACACTGTACAGCCAGCAAACAGGAGATGGTAGGGCACACTCTTTTTCCATGGTTGATATTTACTCGGGTGTGCAATTATGCTGATGATTTTTTTCCTCATCATGAATTTTGTTCTCTATCCCATTCAAAGGGTTATGCCTACCTGTATCTTACCCCTGAAGACTTCGATCGTTTGAGGGCATATGAAGCCGTAAATTGCGAGAAAATTACGGCTGGTGACGAAGTCAGATACAAGATTGTGGACATAGTAGGTAAGCAGAATTATTCAAAACCCTAGGCTATAATTTACCACACCATGAACTCCCATCATCCACTTCAAAAATCATAATTTCGCTTGTCGTTACACAACCGTTCAGCTAACCCAATGAATTGTTTGAACATTTGCCTATAGGTAAGGACTACGATATGTCGGTGGAAAATCTGCGAGGTTCGGCCATGATTGCAGGAGAAACCTCAGTTGCTTATGATGATATTTTCACCCTAACCATTGTCACCAACCGTGCAATAGGAATCGGTGCATACCTTGCACGTCTCGGTCAACGGGTAATCCAGGTAGGTATCTGGTAACTTGTCGTGGATTACAGCAGATCAATTTGGAGTACAGCACTGGAACATTTCAGTTGTCACTCTTCCTTCCCACATGAGTAAGCGTATGTGCTCGAGACTCTGTATCATAGTTATGCGTTTTATATGGGATTGACTTCTAATTAATACCTCCTGGATTTGTAGGTCGTCTCGCCTATAGAGATTTCAAAAAACTCTGGGTGATGATAGTTTAGCACCAGCTATAAATTTTAACTGTCCCTAAAGTTGTATGAGTGACAATGGACCAAGTTCCTCCCGAATCAACAAAATAATTATTGTGAACCAACTTCCAATATTTCTGATAATGTCTTACTTTCCGTCTCGGTTTGAAAGACAGGTTTTGTGGCGCCTTGATGCACATGTTTGTGGTGGTTAGAGTATGCGGATTGGGACCAAAAATGTCGAGGTCTAACATGATAGTGGCACATTAGTAATGATGTAGTTTTGTGCATTAAGGAATATTTTGGTCCGCTCATCTAACGCAACTGTCTAACACAGTTCAGAGACGAACTTAGAGTGCCGATTCAGAATTCATCGTTGTAGACTTTGCACGTCTCGGGCTGTTATAGAGGCGGAAGTTGAGTGATCAACGTATGAGTTTCATGGAGTAAAAGCATTCAGGACAGTAGACAAGTGTAGATTACCCGGTCGAGAACCTTTGAGAGGCAAACCCATGGTCAGGGGTATCATTTTATGTCATAGACTGTCCGTCTTTTGTTTTTTCATCCAGTGGGGCTGAGCGAAAATGCCTTCGAGATAAACGGGGTTTGGAGACTCGGTACTCGTATCTTAACTAGCGTTTCCTAGGGAACGCGATTAAATTGCAAATTATTGGAGAGTTTCTTCCTCCCTTTGTATGTTCTCGCAGACCCCTGACACTGTTCGGAGACGCCGATCGTCAAACGTGGACAATTTTCAGAATGTCCTGTGCAGAGGTGCTATATCTCTGCCATAAAGGTGACTGGATCGCAGTGTATACTATACTCCTAACCAGCTGCAACTTATGGTGTTGGCTACCGAAATGGTCATTCTGTACTGATTTGGCCAATAGACAGCAGACTAGCTTTATCACTTTGCATTAATCACCTTTTTCCTACCTCATGTACTGCTACTCACCAGATATTTATTGAAATCTCATTGGCCAATTTACAGTCCGCTAGGTGACTGGAAAGTACTTGGCTCTTTTGTTTGAAGACCTCATCTTCACTTTTCCGTCTTTCCTTGGCACAGGTGAAAAACTCGCACATCATCCTCACTGGTGCAATGGCTCTGAACAAATTACTTGGTCGCGATGTGTACACTAGCAATAGCCAACTTGGAGGAGTACAGGTGAATTTTTCAACTTTTTTATGGTATACCATTTGGATCGATCAGCCATGACTGCGTTGCTAAATTGAGCCCAGAAATCGAGTTCTGCTCCTCCATACGGTCGCCAGAAGTACGCGCCTTATGGCTATCGCTTGCTTGCCGTTGCTGTATGAGTAGGTATTTCAGTGGAATGCGACGGTTTTTCACAAACCCAGCATTCATTGAATACTAATAATCTGATTGACGTCCTTCAGCCGTTATAACAAGTTGTAGAGTTTAAAAAGACACCTTCCAAGCTAGTACCACGTTGTTGTTAGGACTACTGGTCATCGGCGTCTTCAGGCTAGGACTACTTGGAACCTTTTTGTTCCTTTTTTAGGCCTACCGATTAGGGCATGCATGCTCGGGGTTACCATTTGCCAACTAATAATGTCAATCGTTGTGACAGGTAACTTCATTGTTGCACATACTTTTCCTGAATTAGTGTCCGCGTTTTTGCGATTAGTTTGAATCGACTTGTATGGTTGCGCCCTGTTCAACCTTCACAAGTCACTTGTGTTGTCACCAGCAATTAGTGTTGATGGCCCGGGCTTGAATAATCCATGCGGTACTGGCATAGTTTTCTCATAGACCAACGCTGTTCTAGTCTATATCCTTGTTTCTGCTTAGGTTATGGCCAATAATGGTGTGTCTCATTTGGTCGCTTCGGATGAACTGATGGCCCTAGAGTACGCCTTGGATTGGCTCGCCTGCACTCCAGTACAACGCGGCCAGCTAGTTCCAGTCCTCTATCGTCCTGTGCCGTTCCAGCAACTCTATCCAAGTGGACCGGTTTCCTCTGAATCTGTTCCTTGGTACATTTCGTGTAGCAACAGGGATGTTATACCTTTTGATCCCATCGATCGCACTGTGGATTACATTCCTTCCAAAGACCGCCAAAATGATGACCCTCGCTGGATGTTCACTGGAGTGATGGGTAAATCAGCCATACCTTTCAATCGTTGTTCACTAAATGTTCGGTACAAACTTGTTCACCACTCTTTTACCCTCTCTATTTTTAACAGCCTCTCAACTGAAACTCGCTGACGAATCCTTATCCGTAAAAAAGTCGACAGGTTCCATTGATAGCGTTGAAAGTACAACAAACTCGGACCGCTGGCTTTCCGGTTTCTTCGATTGGGGTACTTGGCGTGAAACATTGGCGTCCTGGGCTGCTGGTGTTGTGGTGGGTCGCGCTCGTTTGGGCGGTATTCCTTGTGGTACTGTGACTGCAGAGACCAGATCGGTTGTTTGTCGAGTTCCAGCTGACCCGGCCAACCTGTCCAGTGAAGCGCAGGTAGTAAACCAAGCAGGACAAGTATGGTATCCGGATTCAGCCTATAAGACCGCTCAAGCTATCGAGGATCTAGCTCGCGAACGGTTACCATTGTTCGTATTTGCAAGCTGGCGAGGATTCTCTGGTGGGATGAAGGATATGTACGATCAGGTACTTCTCTATGGATTCACCGCACTCGCTACTGCGTACTACTGCGTAGTCTTATTTGTAACTGGTTTGCACAAAACTGTTCGTACTAATTTACGACCTATTGGATGCCTATTGGTAGAGCGTGAATGGTTCCCCATGATATTATTTTATCCTCGATTTTAGAAACCTGTAGCTTGATGCAGAAGTCATCTGTTGAGCTAACGAAATAGAACATTAATACCTTCAATTCACTTGATATTACATCACAACCAACTGGCTTCACTTGTTCAGTAACCATTTAAATTTCCTTCGGTTCACTTTCCCCGCACAGGTCCTCAAATTCGGATCAATGATTATCGATGCGCTTCGTCGCTATCCGGAACCGGTTTTCGTCTACTTACCTCCACATTCGCAGTTACGCGGAGGTGCCTGGGTTGTCGTAGATCCGGCTATCAATCCGGACCGAATGGAGATGTACGCCGACCCTCAGAGTTGCCGTGCGGGTGTCCTCGAACCGGAGGGGACAGTTGAAATTAAGTACCGGAGAGCAGATATGATAAAAACGATGCATCGGTTAGATGGCCGATGTCGTCGGTTACTAGAGGAGATTGACCGATTGCAGTCGGGTGGACCAGGTGGCGTGGAATCCAGCCTTCCAGTGAAGGATCATATTTTCCAGCTAAAGGCTGAGCTGGAGGCACGACAAAAGGAGTTACGACCATATTATCACCAAGTAAACATTATTTCTGTTCCCTACTTCAATTAAACCTTCGTTTGTGTGTTGTTCAGCATTCAAGCTATTGCCTTCAATGCATAGCTCCCTTCCCAATCCCTCCACTTAACAGTCTATCTCCATTACTGTATTTACGCACTAATTTGTCAGCTCCCGCCTTTAATGCGCAGCTGCCTACTCCACCTCCCCGAATCATCGGTGAACGAAACTGTAGCAGCTACAACCACTGTACGACAAGTACGCGGTTATTACAGCTGACAACGATGATGGTTATGATGTTCCCACTATATCGCTCCATAGGTGTCCGGGAAACAAACTCATTCAGCTTTGGAACTTATCCTGGCGCATAGCTACCGTGCAGTGTGAGGGAACCATGAGGTTTTAGATGCTGGTTAATTTTTCACCAAGCCTACACATGAGCACGAGGACCAAAGGCTTGTCCGCAACCGCTGAGTCACATCTAAAATCCAAATCGTATCCACATGATTCTAGATTTACCGATCCTCCACTTGTCTTGGCACAGTTTCACAAATTCCCGAAACTACTCGGTGGCAATGAAAAGTGTTCCACAGGATTTATCACGGAAATGACTGTGGCTCTGATAGACAGTTGCTCCCAGCTAATAAGTAGCCTTTGGTCGGAGATCTCACCCCCTCTCTGCATAAATATTAAATCCCTATTGGAATCAGTATATAATCCTATAATTTCGAAATTTCTTTGAACATTTCCTCTTCGTTGCTTTACATTTTAAACAAAATTGTTTTGTAACCTTGATCTCGGAGTAGAATGCGCTGTTTCTATTAACAAATCCAAATAACTTAACCATTTGTTTCATTTCTTACCTTGTTTTATCAGGTTGCTTGTACATTTGCTGATTTACATGACACTCCCGGTCGACTGCTATCTCGGGGACTAATTAATGGTTTGGTCGAGTGGCCCAAGAGTCGTACGTTTTTCTTCGGTCGTCTCCGTCGCAGGCTACTCGAGTTGAACGCTGTGCGTCGGATCAGTGCTGTTTCCCAACTCAACAAGAATGCACACCAGGAGAGCGAGCCTGTTGTCCGTTACTTCCAGAAGTCCACCCTTACATCCCATCACCTTACACAGGCCATTTCGCGGGCAGCCACGAAGGACTTCAACCGACCCGCAGATGGTGGTGGAGATGAATCTGGTAAGCATCCAGCCACATCCACCTGCTCTCTGTCGGGATTTTCATCGTTCTACCCCCTTAGCAGGTGCCCGTAGAATTTTAGTTTCTCTAAGTCATCTACTGTCCAGACTCCTGAACCTAGCGGCTATACTAGATCAGCTTGTTATCCTAAGGAGCAAATACTAGGCGCGGCAAAGTGGACTGGGTTTCGGATTTGAGAATGGATCATTAGGTGTGTGTGGTCTCCACTCCGAACGAAACTGTTGGAGTTGCTGTTAAAATTCATGCAAGGCGAGCAGTGCCGTCAGTCCCACCGTAGAACCGCAGAACAAGAAAGAAACGTCACTGAACCTGTGTAGGGCAGACAGAATATGTGGGGTTATGACCCGAGGCGTCAACCCGGTTGTATACGGCCTTACCGTTACGAAGCCAATGCTCCCACACGATTTGCGGTGTAAGTGTTTATTGTAAAGCTTGCGATCGCGCGTGAGGTGGGACGCTACTAGGGTATTCACATCCCCAAGGGGGGAGTCAGGGTCTTTAAAAAAAGCTTTGGCGTTAATAGCTTTGTTGAAAGGCAGTGATTGCGCCCCGGTATACTTTTTTGGCAGTATAACTTTCTACAGAACAAGGCGCTACCTTTCATCCGCCTTCCAAACTACGATTTTCAAGCACCACAGACCATATGCGTCAGTTTTCTTCAGCCAGAAAGGCCATATAAAATCTTCGGTGGTTTCATCCACCGTCCAGTTTGAAAGTCGAGCGGTACATGCACCACTGGCCTATGGGTTGTCAGATGACCACGAACCGTTTTGTACTGAGCCGAATTCGCCACCCTGTACTAGCTCCTGACGTTGATCAAGACGTGAGGACATTAGATTTGCGGGAGAAGGTATCTACGCCAGTTTCAAATCGACAGTTGGCCTAAACATGATACGACGATAAATTTGGCACCAGTTATTCTTTCAACAGTGAGGTTTAGGCGCAGTCCGTTGGTCCAGAATGCCACATCTTTTTCTGGAGCTGGCTGTCGACGTACCGTCAAGGTCTTACTGGCTAAGTGAGTGATATTCCTTTGACTATCTTTTTGCCAATGTTGTCCATGACTAATGTTCTGTTCGCTGGGCTTCGTGTTTTGGTTGCAAATGTAGGCATACTCATTCGCCAATTCCGATGATCTTAACAGCAAACTCAGCTGAATATCAATCGTATCTTTTGTTTCTGCTATTAAGTTGGATGTACTGCATAGAGGTCATCTAAATCCATTCATGATATCGGCGTGCATTACTTCCCACGAGACTGTACTGTCGGCAAAAATCGTGCTACCCCCTTAGCAGGCGCCCGTAGAATTTTAGTTTCTCTAAGTCATCTACTGTCCAGACTCCTGAACCTAGCGGCTATACTAGATCAGCTTGTTATCCTAAGGAGCAAATACTAGGCGCGGCAAAGTGGACTGGGTTTCGGATTTGAGAATGGATCATTAGGTGTGTGTGGTCTCCACTCCGAACGAAACTGTTGGAGTTGCTGTTAAAATTCATGCAAGGCGAGCAGTGCCGTCAGTCCCACCGTAGAACCGCAGAACAAGAAAGAAACGTCACTGAACCTGTGTAGGGCAGACAGAATATGTGGGGTTATGACCCGAGGCGTCAACCCGGTTGTATACGGCCTTACCGTTACGAAGCCAATGCTCCCACACGATTTGCGGTGTAAGTGTTTATTGTAAAGCTTGCGATCGCGCGTGAGGTGGGACGCTACTAGGGTATTCACATCCCCAAGGGGGGAGTCAGGGTCTTTAAAAAAAGCTTTGGCGTTAATAGCTTTGTTGAAAGGCAGTGATTGCGCCCCGGTATACTTTTTTGGCAGTATAACTTTCTACAGAACAAGGCGCTACCTTTCATCCGCCTTCCAAACTACGATTTTCAAGCACCACAGACCATATGCGTCAGTTTTCTTCAGCCAGAAAGGCCATATAAAATCTTCGGTGGTTTCATCCACCGTCCAGTACACCAGTTTGAAAGTCGAGCGGTACATGCACCACTGGCCTATGGGTTGTCAGATGACCACGAACCGTTTTGTACTGAGCCGAATTCGCCACCCTGTACTAGCTCCTGACGTTGATCAAGACGTGAGGACATTAGATTTGCGGGAGAAGGTATCTACGCCAGTTTCAAATCGACAGTTGGCCTAAACATGATACGACGATAAATTTGGCACCAGTTATTCTTTCAACAGTGAGGTTTAGGCGCAGTCCGTTGGTCCAGAATGCCACATCTTTTTCTGGAGCTGGCTGTCGACGTACCGTCAAGGTCTTACTGGCTAAGTGAGTGATATTCCTTTGACTATCTTTTTGCCAATGTTGTCCATGACTAATGTTCTGTTCGCTGGGCTTCGTGTTTTGGTTGCAAATGTAGGCATACTCATTCGCCAATTCCGATGATCTTAACAGCAAACTCAGCTGAATATCAATCGTATCTTTTGTTTCTGCTATTAAGTTGGATGTACTGCATAGAGGTCATCTAAATCCATTCATGATATCGGCGTGCATTACTTCCCACGAGACTGTACTGTCGGCAAAAATCGTGCTCTTTTCGGAAGGACTCCCTCGTGGAAGGTGCCAAGCTTTGGTAACATTTTCCGGCTGAAATATACATCAATGAATATCAAGAGGCAAACGTTGAGTCGCTGTACTATTATTTTTGAAACAGAACTGAAAATTCTCCCTGTACGGAACAGGGTAACCGAAAAACCTGGCAGGTATGACATTAGTTCTTTTCGTGAGTTTGTCACAGAGACCTCATATTGGAAGCGTATCGTACCAACAGCATAGCTTTTCGTAATGTGTTCCGTCATCAGGTTTACGGTTTTCGCGCTTTAAGCCTATGGGGGAAATATGCTGCAATAAAATCCGTGCAACCAAGGTCATCAGGGTTGTGCTATTTAACCACACTGTAGCTGAATGAGTAGGGAATTAATCCTTGCCCGGAAGAATTTTGTGGTTGGGAGAACTAGGTTGAAGCATTCCGAATTCAACTTATTTGATTTTCGATTTGACGTTGCTCTTTCACTTGACCGGAGTGAGTTCCTTTTTTTTGTGACAGTACCGTGTTTAGCACCTGTTTTTTCGAATATAAGAAACCAGTCTGTCGTTTTCAGTCATATATTAATTTTTTTGCGCCATTCACCATCCGTATAACCTTCTGCAGTTGACCCGCACATTCCCCGCATCCGATTCGCAATGGCACCTTTACGGGTGCTTCTTCCGGAGTGTCCACCATCCAGTCCAATTCAGTCGGACAACTCCGTTCAAGCACAACCGGATGCTGACGATGGGCCCGCTGTCTCAGTGGTATCGAATAACAATCTGGCACAAGAAGTCGCCAAATCGGTCCCAAGAATTGGTGAGTTGTATGCTTGTGTCGAAGCGCCTACCGATGACGGTTGTGTTTCATCATTCAACCTTGTGAAGTGTATAACTATACAAGCTAAGGTGGCTACTTTGCCCCATTGTCAGTCGATGTCCTTGATGCGGTTCTCGCATTTACTCTGAATTCCTTTCTACTTTGCTCTTTGTGTGATCGCCTAGAAAGTATGTTACTTGCTAGGGAGTCACCAACTCGTTTCAGTGCACCCGCTAGCCTTTTGACTAGCGTATGTTCTGACCGCGTGGATAAGGACACAGTGCATCATGTGGGAACATGCAGTTTGTACATTTTCCTGAGTTCTTGGGGCTGTGATAGTTGAGTATCGCTTAGTTTATGCAGTCTAGCAACCGTTTCACTCATGATGTGTGCATATCCTGACATAGTCTTTTCTAAGGTTTCTGGGTTGTTTACTTGATCAGAAGCCTGGAACTTTCAACGTTGTATCTATCTTTAGGTTATTTTCAATGCTGTCAATCAGAATCACTTCAGCCTCGGGCTTTGTTCATGCTTAAGTGTCACCAGGTGCTCAACAATCCGCGGGCACCCCTGTTTGGAGGCTGCACATTTATTCCGATCGTATTGTCAAACAACCCAGGTTTAAACAAATTTTGGGCTTGATCTCATCTTGGATTTATACGGGATAATTAACCGATGGTGGAAAAAAGTTGATTATCCTGGCTTGCGTTCAGGTTGCAAGGACAATTTGTACACTTCCTCATCTGCAAATCAATTTGGTTTTCACGAGGGACTCAACTGAATCTTTCGTTTATGATATTCTGCAACTGAATGTGCTGCACACAGGCCGCCTCATGTTTCAGTTGGCACGATATTTGAGATACAGCAGTATATTTTCATAAAGGAAGCTACTCACAAGGTTGCTGTCGAAGAATTTTCAGCAACCTTGTGAGTAGTTTCTTTCGTGACAATTTGTTGTGTTTGACTCATATTACTGTGAGAATTTGGAAACTGTGGATCCACTGAACGAGTAGTGTGGAACGTTTTACGTAGTTATACTAATCTGTTAGAATTGGTTTTAAGGTGACATTTGATAAAACATCTGTTATATATATATATATATTATATATATATATATATCAAGACAGGTACAACTAAACACAACTGAGTGTTTTTAATGGTTATTAACCTGCTTCCCCCTCCTTAACGGACACATTTATTATATTTGCACAGCTGTGAATCATAGCGCCGACTTCGCCTACGGTCTGTCGTGTTTGCGACAGTGTTTCATCGAAGACTACCTTGCATCTTCTTCGAAAAGTAACGAAAAGTTAAATGGACTAGGTCAGGATTCAGCTGGTCACATTCCGCGTCCACGAGTTGCTCGCGAGCCTAATCAAATGCACACAGACGGGAGTGAAATTGGATTGAAATCCAAAAGAAAGTCGCATAAATCCATGGGTGCAAAACATGTTTCAAAGTCAGAGCTGCGAGCTGGGCACGTTTCAATTGAGGCATCGCCCTCCTTCAAGTTGGATCATTGTACTAGTTCTCCGAATAAACCGTTGAAACCAAATCAAGTCTGGGAAAAAGACGACATGGCCGTTGGCAACTGGCTGTCCGTACAGCTTGGGGCTATAGCATTTCAGCGTGTACCGACTGTGGGAATTCTGGATATCCCATCTGTAATAGAGCAGGAAAACAACACCTCCGAACTGCCTTCTTGTTCTCTTGTACGTAGAAAAATAGAAGAACTTGAGACAAATGCCATCCTGGAGCGACTGCGAAGGTAAGTAATGACATCCTTAAAAAGCTTAGTTCGGCCATTTCAATTAGTTCTGTGAGTGACGAATAAACTCGCACTTATCTGGTGATTGCTTGACGATCTACATTGGTTCGATAAGCATTCAAGATTTCTGCATTTTCCAGTTTTTTCTCGCTGTATATCCTGCCCCCACTGAGTCTTTGACCAGTACCTGGTATTCATCTGCGTTTCTTGATACCTTGTTTATTATTCTACACACCAGTTCTGTAGTGTGTGTAGTTCCTGATTGTTTCTCTTATGTAGTTATTGATGCGGTCGTTGCATTCAATCTTTTATGCACAGTCTGTAGTCCTTTTAACCAGGAGGCTATCCTTCAGTTGCACCAATGCCGAGCGCAACGTTCTTTCTGAAACGTTTTTGGTACCCTCATGATAATTTCGGGTGTTCCTGGTTTATATGGAATGATCGTTCTGCCTCTTCATTCCTTAATTAGTATTCATACCTGAGCCAATACCTTTCCTAATCTCTGCATCTTCAAACTCACTTACTTGAAGAGTTTTTCGCCTCAGTCGGGACTACATAGCGTTCCGATTCGTCTACACGCTGATCATGCAACCGTGGCATATAGGAGTGACAGACGAGTTGTTTAACAGTGCACCTCCACCTGACGGTTCTCACGTGAGTGGTTTTCCACGACCCATATACCATACAACCCAGGAAGTGTAGTGACCCAGATGTAGTGGCCATCTCACTGCTAAACGTTGTATGGGAAGTTGAAATAGTGATATATTCCAGGTAATCGTAGACCTCTTTTCTAGACTCTGCTCTCTGAAGTAAACAGTTGAGTCAAAAGCGGACATACGTTTATGCCACGGAGTGCTTCATCTACTCGATCTGTGGCCATTTTCTCAGTGCTACGTCTTTCCGTAACCTTCTTGAGGTCCCCGCAAATTGAGTTGACGTCGAATCTAACAAGAACTTTGTCTACCTGGAAAGAAAATCTTCGGCTTTGTTGATAATCACATCAGTTTTAAATGTAATGTGGTTGAATTTTCCGCAATTGGCTTTAGTGTATCAGGAAATCATATGGCCATCTCATGAGGTGGGCCAACTATTTCGTCGAACGTCGGTCTAACAAGGACATTTGTCTTGTGGATTTCCGACAGACCATAAATCCATGGATGGGTTGGACGTTTTGGATACAAGCAGTGCCACTCGCCTTATCCCGATTTGTTTATCACTGCTTATCTAACATCCCCTTTTCAGCCGTATTATTGATGTGATCACCCCGTCGTTATTTGTCAGATGTACCTATCAGCTGAGTTATTTGCCCTTCTGCAGATAGCCACTCGTGTTCTTGAGGACGGTTGCCTTATCCCTCTCGGCCTTTGTAACTACGGACTTATTTACGTCTTTTAAGACACTTTAAACTGTTTACTCTCCTGGTAAAATATTGGAGCGTCG